CACGGAATGCCTCCCAATCATTGTGATCTCCAGAAGATTTTGCTTTATTGTAGAGCCTTTGTTTACGCCTGGCTAGACGTTTCAAAGAATGATTGAACCATGGTAGATTATATCTTGAGCTAGACCACTTTGAGGGAATGCAAGAATTCATTATACGGTAGATGTTGTCTTCGAAACAGCTCCATTTATCGTCGATTGAATTAAAGCCCCGTGTATCCATATGAAGTGATAGATTTGTAAGTTCTTCTTTAACGCTACTGGAGTCAGCTTTCTTTCTAATGTATATTTTGCGTTTGACATTTTTCTTTCTTCGGCAAGAAGTGTTCACAGTGAATAACACAATGTCGTGATCACTAATACCAGGGACGACGCTGATATTTTCAATGATGTTGGAATTATTGGAGAGGATTAGATCTAAGATGTTTTGTGTATTCCTGACCCTTCTAGTTGGTTCTTTGACAAGTTGGCTCAGATCGTGATCATCAATTATTTCTAACAGTCTGTCAGAGGCAGGAGATTGACTTGAATATTCAGTATCCCAGCTAATATCAGGGGCATTAAAATCACCAGAAACAATGATGTTATTTTTATATGATTCAAATAGCAATGATTTTGTTTTCTTGTTTGCTAGCTGACATTGGGTCCAAATAATTTCACAGTCGGTGTCCAGGTCCGAACGATGTGTTACTATAATATCGTTTTTCACTGCCTGGAAAACGCCTCCGCCGTGGCAGTCATCAGGGCGATCTTTTCTGAAAATTTTGTAGCCCTTTGGAAATATTTCGTTACTTTCGATGTTCGAACTTAACCAGGATTCAGTACCAAAGATGATATCGGGTTTATATCGGTGTCATTGGTGTTATCGAGTTACCAAGACGAGCACCTCTATCCTTTCTATATGGGAGTTAGCCGGGTGAACTGAGTCAAACTACTGACTGATCACGTTTGTCACCCAAACGGTCACAGAAATCCTTACGTCAAATGCTGGTGCTCAGTCCCTGGAGGTTTCTAGAGGGGCCAATATAGGAATCCGTGGCAGCTCGTCAAGCCTGAATCGGAGTAAGAGCAGAAGAAGGGAAGCTTGGAAGTAGCGGCATGCGCGATTCCAGCGCGCACATGTGATATAATTGGTATCTCTTAGGGACCCTTAGGGGAAAAAAGAAACAATTCAAGCCACGCCCACAAAAGAGGATATTGGTACCTCTTTAAAGGTAATATTTTTCAAAATTTCTGACTAGTGCCGCCGCAAAAATAACTGTGTCAGTTTTTGTATATAGGGGATGTTGGTTAGGCCGTGGGTCCTATTTCTTTTACCGTCTTATAAGCCGGTAGTTGAAGATAACGAACCTTTGGCGTTATCCAAGCTTTTCTCATGTAGTAGTCCACGGGAGTAGTGTACATATGATCTCTTCTTCTCCCCTCGGCGCCATATAGGGGCACCAGCCGGGATACCAGGCAAGTGTCGGTGGGTCTAGGATTAAAATCTGATCTGTAGGAAATCTTCAGCCCAAATCGTCAAAAAAAAATCCTGGCACATAAATTTCACGCATTTGACCTAGAATAAATCCCTAGGCATGCCGCAATAAAATTAGCTTCGCCCCTCGCCCCCCTCCCGCCGCCCCCCGCCACCTCTCCCTCGAAAAAAGCAGCCGAACAACCTCGTTCCCAGGGTCTCTCATCTTCCCCCCTTTCCGCTCCAGGAGGTTATCAGGGACGGGAAGATGAGAGAACTGGGAACGAGATTGCTGAAACTTCTTCGAATGTTGGCTGGCAAAAAAGATTTTCAAGCTTCCTGCTGTATATTTGTGTTTTATGCCATTATGGTAACTTCAGAGATATGTGATAAGCTCGCCTTACATATTAGGGCAGCTGTTTGTAAAAGTCACTTGTGACACTAAGCGACTCGTATACCACATATGGCAATTTTCGTATCTAATCCGCTGATCTATGACACGTCAGTAGATTGAGCCAGCCATCGAGCCATCTTTGTTCCGAAAGTCGTTTTCGGTAGCTATTTTCAAGGGATTGCTGGAACCTTAACTGGCAATCTTCAATATGTCTACGGCAGAATTACCTTGCTACACGTTAATAAATGTTCTTAGTGACTCGGAAGCACTAAGCGAGCAAAAACTCGCCGAAGATTTGGGTAAGTTTATCCTACGCTATAAATAATTTTTGGTAAATCCGCACGAAAATCGATGTATAAAGCGTATAACTAACTTCAATTTTGCATTTTATTGTCAGATGTTGTAAAATGTCATAATCAGGGCTAATGTTAAGCGATAACCTTTTCAGAAAAGAATCTTGCATAATGTAATATGGTGTTTGAAAACTTACATTGGTGAGACTAAATACTATAGAGCCACTAAAAGACTTTTGACAAAACTAGTTGCTAATGAGACAAGGTCAATGAACATTATAAGCTTATAAATAATGCGAAATTTAAAGACACACACTGAACTGAAGCACGGTATTAATTTCAAACCACTGGCCTGCATAGCTGGGGATGGATTTTGTTCATTTCTACTAAAATTAACGTATCCATCAAGGCCAACAACATGTTACTGAAAGAAATAGTTTCTGAATAAGGTGATCAGGCCACAAGGGAAAATATTTTTCTTGGTCATTCTACATGTATGAGCTCGAACTAAAGATATTAATTGTAATATTTAAGCCGGTGGGACTTTGCGCAGTGCTAAAGCCATAATAGAAATTATTTTCAGAGACTAACTCTGGAAAGCTTGTACACCAACTTAGAACAAATACTCAGTCCCAGCAGATATCAACCACTACTGGAGCCCTACATGTACAAATGACTTATTAACGATGTAAACAAAACCAACAGAGAGACTTCCAAAAGAATGACTCGATATGACTAACAACAGATGAAGCAATACCTACTAGAACTGACCAATTGCTATTGACAAACTTGTGGAATATTCTTACATTGAATACTATCATGGCTTACCTGGCCATCAGTTTCTATGGACAAAGATTAACTCTGCTCAGGTTGCCAAAATCTGAGTTGCCAACTACAGTTTTTTTACAGCTACATTTCCCCTGACCTAGAGAATCACACTACTTAGATGAACTATGAAACACAATAAATTACAGGGCCCATATTGATAGCAGTTTTATAACTTATCGGGTTATTATCTGATTGGTTACTGAGCTGCATTGTGTTAATTTATAGTGGGTCCTTGGTGCACACATGCAGCTTTTCATGCATTATACATGTAGTTCTGAAATTAACAATTGAAGCGAATCCATCAATGCAGTAGATTGACAGTTACTGACCTACATGTACATGTATGATACACCAATCAGACTGCATTCTCTTGCTTTCTTTTACTGTGATGGTGGTCTGGGGCTTCTCCCTTGCAAATGATCACTCCCAAAAACCCTTATCTTCCATGTTTTTCTTTAGAAAAGGGTGACCTCCGAATCAAAACTGAGGCTTTGAAGAGAGTGATTCAGCAGATTTTAAATGGAGAAAAAATGCCGTCCCTGCTGATGGTGATTATCAAGTTCCTCATGCCTCTGGATGATCACACAATCAAAAAGCTTCTTCTGATTTTCTGGGAAATTGTTCCCAAGACTGGGCAAGATGGTAAACTGCTGCAAGAGATGATTCTGGTGTGTGATGCTTACAGGAAGGTAAGAGTCTTGATAATAAAGCAAGATGTATGTGTAATCTACTAATGCCCATGCATACATATATATACACTACACACGTAGTTTGTCCTATGAGTTGCTCTTTTATGTCAAATTTGCTGTGTAGTAAAAAGTTAGACGCTCAACAAATGTTTCAATTTCCTTGAAACTCCTGCCCAACTTCCATGGGCAGATACAGGTTAGTAAAATGGTCACAATGTTGTGCACTTGCAGGCAAGTCAATTACATGTGAAGATGTGTATAATTTTATTTTTGCTTCCATCAATATTTTAGGATCTTCAGCATCCCAATGAGTACATCAGGGGATCCACTTTGAGATTTCTTTGCAAGCTCAAGGTACATACATGTATATTCATTTGTAGACGACTTTTGAGGTGCACTTGTACTGCACCCTCTTATGGTACATGTACATTTAGTTTTAGAGTTTTTACATGTTCCTTTCTAGTGCTGGAGAAGTTCATATTAAATGTGTTTTACTTGTCTTTTATTTTAAAGGAAGCTGAGTTATTGGAGCCTCTCATGCCAGCCATCAGAAACTGTTTGGAACATCGCCACTCATATGTGCGGCGGAATGCTGTGATGGCAATTTACACTATCTACAGGTAAGCACCTTATATTTTATGATGAGTGAGAGACAATCAATGTTTAATACTGTACATAGATGCAGGCTTCCTACCCCCTTGTATAGTGTACATAATTATAAACTGCATCTGATTTATACAAAATAGTGTTACTTAATAGTTTCTATTTTTGATTTTCAAAGCTATTAATGTATAATCAAGGAATATTTCTGTTTCTCCAGAAACTTTGATTTCCTTATTCCTGACGCCCCAGAACTGGTGCACACATTTCTTGAACAAGAGCAAGATGCGTCCTGTAAACGGAATGCTTTTATGATGCTCATCCATGTGGACCAGGTAATGTTCTATAAATCTTTCTAGGCCTCTAAAAGCAGTACAGACACTGTATCATGAATATAAAACATGGGTGATCTACATGATGATCACTCTCCCCAAACACCGTATTTACATACAGTGTACATTTTGGTTTCAAACCAAACTGACAAAGAATGGAAAGAGTGACCTTAAGCTAGCATGCGTCAACAGGATACTACTTCATAATAACAGATGTCTCTTGTTAAAAGGTTTTTGTGATTACCTCTCTAGATTACCTCTAATGTGGAAATGGGGAGCACATCCAGGCTGTTGTTATGTGTCCTTCTTCTACAGTAACAGCTGTTTCTTGTTGTTGTATCTTGTCTCAGGAGTGCTGTGTATTTATTTGTGATGTTAATTTTCTTCTTAGGAACGAGCACTGGAATACCTGAGCACCTGTATAGATCAGGTCAACACATTTGGTGACATACTGCAGTTGGTTATTGTTGAGCTCATCTACAAGGTACTATACATTTTGTTTTAGATAAAATGAAGGCTAGTTTTATTTCGTTTATTAATACTGATATTTCATATTAATGGTCGTGAACCTTCACCCTTGTTTCATTTACATTTAGAGCTACATGTAAACAAATTTCCATGTTGCATAAGCTTAGTGCAGCATGTCTCGTGAGCTGGAATTTTATTCATTATGTTGCTTTGATTAAACTTTCCAGCCCCATGGATGAAGTAATGTCAAAGAGTTCCATACTGATTGCGACACCTTTCTCTCGATTTAAGTCAAGTACTTCTTTTGCAGCACTGTCCGCTAGTTTTATTTTAGCCACTTGTGTATTGCAGGGTTCCAGATATGCTTTTAAGCCAGGGTGTCGATAAGGAATTCCAACAGGTCAATTCCCCCTGTTCCCACCAAATCATTATGAATTTTCTATTAATTTGTTGGGTCGTGTAGCTGGCCTTGTGGGGTTTTTGACCTGAAACCTCCCCACTTTTCTGGAACACTGCTACTGAAGGCAGAATTAAGATAAATATATTATATGTAATTTATTAAAAAAATAATGGTTTGTTGAAAATATTATTATCTGAATTTAAAACAAAATTTGGAATCAAAAATTTGTAATATTGTGAAAAGCTAATCTGAATGACTTCTTCTTGTGTTCCAAGATCTGTGCAAAGTACAAAATAATTTAGTCAAAAACTGAGACTAAGCTCTTGGGTTATGTTCAGGTGTGCCATGCCAACCCAGCTGAGAGGTCGCGCTTCATCCGATGCATCTACAACTTGTTAAATTCATCATCACCTGCTGTTCGTTATGAAGCTGCCGGTACATTGGTGACTCTATCATCTGCACCCACAGCAGTCAAGGTATGTGCAGTGTCTGCTCACTAGCTTACTGGGCTGTTCAGTGGAGCATGGGTTTCTTGTAGGCTAGACTTAGCATATCTAATGCAAATTTATGGATAGAAAGAAGAAATGCACTGAAAAAAAATCAGTGATTCCTTTGGGAGGCATGCTTGGGAAATTTATGGAACTAAAGATACAGTAACAAAACAGTAATCATACATGTAATAGTAAATCATACTGAAAATTGCAAGAATTTAACTGATTAGCTAAATTAGGTTAATGACCTTTTGATGGTAAAATAAAGAAACAATATTCATCTACTGTACATCTGTATTATATTATAAACCCCTAGTATTTAATATTATAACATCTATCTTTTAGCACATCACATACATTGTACAATCTTCTCATTTTGAAATTTACTCCTTCATACTCTTTATGGAATTTGTCACAATCATGCAAAATAATTGTAAGTGTCCTTGAATGACCTTCTCTTCTGAAATGTTAAAAAGTAAAAAACAGCGAACATTTTGAACACTAGGTCATCTTCAGGGTACAGATCTTGTTCATGTTCACTATATAGTCTAATAATTCTATTGTTTGTCTTTTTTTCCACAGTCTGCAGCATCATGTTACATTGAGTTGATTGTTAAAGAGAGTGACAACAATGTGAAGCTGATTGTGTTGGACAGGTTGATCACTCTAAAGGACAACCCAAGTCATGAGAAAGTTCTCAGGGTTAGTGCAGTCTGGAATTTATTTTCAATCAAGAAAATAATTCTTGCAGAGTCTGTTCAGCACTCTGGTTTTTCAATTATGATATGTTTTATGAGATACAGGGAAAGTCTTTCAATACGGAATACAAAATATGATGAATTTGGTATTTGAAAGTTCCAAAATTGTTGTGATATTAATAGTGTTAAATGCACAGACTTTGTAGTAATAATGCATCGTTGAAAAATGGGATGCTACGATAAGTCCTTAAATTTTTGTGACCAAAAAGTGCGCACTGTATGAATTCTGTCACAGTTGTTACGATAGTAAACTTGTGGCTTATTTTGTTTTTGTTTGACATAGGAATTGGTGATGGATATTCTCCGTGTGCTTTCGTCTCCTGACCTTGAAGTGCGCAAGAAGACCTTGCAACTGGTGCTTGATCTGGTTACTTCACGGAACATTCATGAGGTATACAAGAGACCTTCATTTGTAAAAACAATCAAAGTGTGGATTACAATACAAACCTGACCCAAGAAATTTGAATATAGCCAAATCACCTCATGCTTATGAGCCTGTCTTAAACATGCATCTTCTTTTCAGGCTACATGTACTAAGTAACGTGAAATAAACTTTCAGGTTGTAGCTGTATTGAAGAAAGAAGTAACTAAAACCCACAATGACAGTGAGCAGGAGGAAATTGGTGGATACAGACAGGTATGTACATGCATGATAATCTACACAAAATACAAGTTATTGTGTAACTTTGTAGGAGAAGAGCTTGCTCTCAAAGAGTTCTACCACAGATGTAGCTTTCAGGACCACTAAACAAACGACTGACATGTAATTGTTTAGTTATCTGTGGACTATTCATCGTCGTCAGTTCTCATCACACCACTGGACATGTACAAGACCTTGTTAACTACATGGTTATCATATTCTCTCAATAGATGCTTGTCCGAACCCTACACACATGCAGTGTCAAGTTTCCTGATGTTGCTGTATCTATTGTTCCACTGGTAAGATCATTTTATTGTTTGCCACAGTACCTTGCATTATTCTTAAGCAGAACATAAGATAAACAGTTTTAAAAATAAAATTGAAATAAGTTTTCTTCTCTGTGTAGCTGATGGAATTCTTGGGTGACAGTAATGAACAGGCAGCATTTGATGTGTTGGTGTTTGTGCGTGAGGCAGTGCAGCGCTTTGAGCAGTTGAAGCCTGTTATCATGGAGAAGTTGTTGGAAAATTTCCACACTATCAAGACTGTCAAGTGAGTAACCAGGCTCTGCCATTGAAATATTCCATGTATTACACTTCTGTCTGAATGCTTGACAAATGAAACTACTTGGATGAGGGAGGTATTTCAACCAAGATGGTTACATGTACGTTGTGTTGGAATGCTAAACAAGTTAGGTTCAAGTTTACGGGCAGAATGTAAAACCTCCTCGCAGCATGTTTGAGTCAGTTGTTGCTTTGTTTGCTTGTTTTGTGCTTTTTCACACGAATTAGGCTCTATAATATCTTCACTCTGGCTTGTTTTCATGTAAGAGACACTAAAGCCTGAAAGGTGATATTTGTTTTACATTTGAATATCTCAGTACAGTGTTTTGCTCTGTCAAACCTTCTGTTGTGTGTCTATCACAGGATTCACCGTCATGCCTTGTGGATCATGGGAGAATATGCCAACAGCAAGCAGGACATCTTGGATGTAACAGAGGAGATCAAGAAGGGTTTAGGAGATGTAAGATCCTAATCACTTGATATATTTGTGGTCTATCTCTGTAGTAGGGAGCTTAAGCAATATTATTATCAACGGATGGTGATGGCTAGGACGATGCCTTGTAAAAACTGAATTTTTCTTTTAACGTCGTATTTGGTAGTTTGCTGGATCTGTTCAGTGCGTCTGTTAGTCTAAATCTTGCTCAAGCAAAATACATTGTATGTAATGCTTGCATTCAATTTGAATTGGAAATACCAAAGATTTAGCCATCCTGGTTCGTGTTCTCCAAAATACCCAGAATTTAGCCCTTTTACAATGTTGTTTTGCAGAGAACAGTTGAGAAATGCACAAAGATTTATAATGCATGGCTCTCATTCCTCATCATGCCCCGCAGGACACCTAGTGCACGTGCATAGGCACTATTCTTGTCATTTAACCTTTTGTTTGGTGACACTCTCGTGGTCATTGTGGTTTGCTTGCATGAGCTCTCTGGTGTCCAACGATAACAGCCAGGGAGACTTTAAAGTTGTTTTTTCACTATGAATTGTAGAATCTGATCAACACATGCTAGACTCATGAACAAGTGACAAACATTTGTGAATGTCTGTTTTTTTAGGTGCCCATGGTGGATGATGAAATGAGAAGAGCAGCAGGAGATGTTCCTGAAGGTAACGTGTAACAGTTAGTGGGGTAATGCATTTGCATGCATTATCTAATAGTAGGGATGGCGCAGTAGTGAGAGCTCTCGCCTCCCACCAATGTTGCCCAAGTTTGATTCTGGCCTGGGTTGTTCTTGATTCTTGCCTTGCTCCGAGGGTTTTTCTCAGGATTCTCCAGTTTTTCTCTCTGCACAAAAACCATCATCTCCAAATTCCAAGTTGACTAGGATGGAGGACCTGCATGAAAACCAGCTAAGGCTGATGTGGCCTCCCCCCTAAATATTGTAATTTTATTATTTAAAGACATTTAATTGACTTTTGCCACCTACATGTAGATTGAACTGTCAGTAGGTTTGTTTACCATCTACAATTTTGAATTCTTAGACTTCAGGTTTGGGCAAGTTTTGCATGTATGCAATTTTGTTTTGTTTAGGTTCAGAGCAGACTCCGTCACAAAGTTCAGGAGGGCAGCGTCTAGTGACAGCTGATGGGACATACGCCACTCAGAGTGCCCTCAGTACCCCAGGGATCACGTCTCTGGTGAAGAAGGATGACGAAAAGAGGTTACATCAATTTTTGTGCATCAATTTGTTTCAGTTGTAAGATCCTGGTGAATACAAATGTACAGCACCGCTCAGTGAACTGTCAAACCAAAGTCTGCCTTATCTTTTTTTTGTTTGTTTTTCTGGCGCGCGCGTTGTGGTGCATTATTTATTTATTATTATTATTAGACTGCATGCTGAATTTGCGTTGAAGTGCGTGAAAGTAAACACTCTAGTATGTATGAGTGGTGGCCACTGTTTATAGCCTGTGTTAAAGCCACCCTCTCCGTTAGAAAAAAATCACTATAATTTTTCTTTCTTTCGGGTAGGACGGCTGTAAACTTGTTGACTGCTTTTGTTCTTTTGTGAAAGGTAGCTTTGTTCCCTAGTAAGTCAGTTTTAATTTCTTACCTGCGTACTCAGTGAACAAAAAAGTGTGCAGTTTATATCTCTGGACTGCTCATGCCATTATTTTATTTAGATGATGTATAATTGTTTGTCGTGTGTTGTCCAACAGGCCTCCTTTACGCCAGTATCTGTTGGATGGTGAATTCTTTGTCGGAGCTGCCATTGCTTGTACTCTAGCCAAACTTGCCTTGCGTTATCTGGACATGGAGGAAGACAAGGAGAAACAAAATGTATGTTTATGATAGCATTACATCAACTTTTCCTGTTTCTTGTCATTAACCGACATTGTCCATGTACATGTATCTTCATTCGGGCTGCAGCTGGTTTGGTTTCACTCATTTGTCAGAACAGTGAAATGTTGCAGTTTGATTTCACTCTATTATCCTTTTTACCTGTTTTTATTCTTGCAGGTGTTTTGTGCAAACTGCATGCTCATCATGGCCAGTATCTTGCACCTCGGAAAGTCCGGACTACCCAAGAAGGTCTGTGCTTTAGAGATGGTCTGAGGGCCTGAAGCCCTCCACTCTGACCTTGTGCAAAAAAAACGAAGCGCTGTATCCAATGGTGCTGGGTTTTTTTTTTTTGCAGATTATTACAGATGATGATGTGGATCGCATCTCACTGTGTGTACGTGTTGTGGCAGAGCGTGTTCCCCTCATGAAGAACATCTTCACTGTGGAGTGTCGCAATTCCTTGTCTTCCATGCTGGACGCCAACAAGAGGGGAGAGGAAGAGAAAATGAACAAGGTACGTCTTATCTATGTTACCTTCACTCGTGAGCGTGGGCCGAACCAGAGAAAAACTGTTGACGACTCTGAATAAAAAGTCGATTCAAATTCAACGAGAGCTCACGAACGACGTCGAGAGTGCGCGAAAGTTTATAAACTCATGTCAACTCTTTGTTTTTGTTTGGCCCAGACTTTAAATTAGTGAACTTCCAGAACCTGTCATTTTTTTTTTTTTTTTTTTTTTCATGAAATGGGAAGGAGTTTTGTTTTCCATTTGAAGTCAATCTAGGCTTGTTATTTTCTTCACAGGCTGATATAGAGAAGGCGCTGGCAATCCAAGTGGATGATCCCATTCCGTTCATGCAGCTGTTGGCAAAGTCTGATTCGGGAATTACCGAGGTGATAATAATCAAAATACACTTTGAGTATTGTTTCCCTTCTTGTGGGCGTCCTTTGGTTTTGTCTCCTTTTCCATTGTGATCGGCTCTTATGAAGGGCTTTGTTCAAGAATTCATTTTGTGGTTTTGTTAATTTACAGGATCAGTTCGCGTTAGCTTTGTCTCAAGCGGTTGGTGCTGCTGGAAAGAAGGAAGATGAACTGGTTGGGTCCAAACTCAACAAGGTACGTAGTACAAAAAATTGAACGCGCATTATAGCTTTTCGGATAGCAATAACCCTTCAAGATGTTCTGTTGTTTCCTCCCCAAATATGTCAGTTGCTACCTGATCCTTCATCCTAAACCCCTGGGGTTTGTGTTTAAATCCCTTGTGTTTGTGTTTAAACCCCTAGGGTTTGTGTTTAGGTTATTCCTACTGTTTTCCTGGCATCCCCTTTTTACCTTGCCGGATGCGACACTAGCAAGTGAACTGGTGACGAGCATGAAGGACTTGACTGAAACAGTTAGAATTATAGAAATGTACAGAAGCTGGTAATGAGAATTTAGATGCTGATATGCGTGCTATTTTACAGGTGGCGCAGCTGACAGGTTTCTCTGACCCAGTCTATGCCGAGGCGTATGTGAACGTGAATCAGTACGATATCGTGTTAGACTTGTTGATTGTCAACCAGACCTCAGATACTCTGCAGAATGTGACACTTGAGCTGGCCACACTTGGTAAGACAGCTGATTTGTTGACCATTAGCCTTAAGGAAGGGCAAGTCTCTTGAAAGCTGTCGGCAGCTTGAACGCACAGCACATTACCTCTCTCTGGGGAGGTGTGGTTGTTTATTTCCTAGAGCACCGCTTATGGCGCTTAGCGCTCTAATTGCAATAAGCTTGGCGCATGGTTGAACGTTTGTATAATGGGCCTGATCTAGCGTAGCTGTAGGTTAATTTAATGTTGTTAAACAGTACAACGGCGGTCAATTACCTTGTCAATTTAAGTTTGGTAACAAAATTACGAAATAATATGAAGCAGTTGGGAAACAAGTTCTGTTGTTGGCGAAAAAAAGTTGACCCTGCCTGGCTTAATGAGAATAAAACATGTTGCTTCAGTAGTGAGGCCGGTGATATCATTAACTGGTTGTTACACCTCATTGAGGTGAAAGTTCTATGTTTCAGCGATCTCACGTTTTTAAAAACAATTTGCGTCTACAACTTGCCTTCCGCTTTTCTCAGTGTTAACTGGCATTTTACCTTGCGTATCTTAGGAGACCTTAAACTTGTTGAAAAGCCACAGCCTATAATGCTGGGACCAAACGACTTCTCTAACATCAAGGTCAGTATTCTTCTACAGCTGATAACTTGGACTGCCATGTGATTCTACAACTACAAATATGTGTATTAAGCGACAGTTGTGCCTTAAGTGATTGAACCAGCACAGTATTTTTTCGATACTTTCAGTCGTAATAATATCTCTCTGCTGAGCTTTGTTTTCTGGTTTTAGTGACATACTGAATGATTTCTATTTGTATATTCTCTGTCATCTTTCAGGCCAATGTGAAAGTGTCATCGACAGAAAATGGAATCATTTTCGGCAATATAGGTGAGTGTAAAACGTAAGCAAGTCCAATGAAACAAACAGTCTGTTATTTTGTCTCCTTCGCCACTTGTGACTGTTGTCACTATTGAAGAAGGTCGTTGGTTCAACTCTTCGCGGCTCGTGGCCCTTTGTCCGGATATTAGCGCTGGCGATGTGATGATCGGTGAACATTACCTGTTGTCATATCGAGTGAGTTGTCAATTTTTTTTTTCTGTTTCACAGTGTATGACGTATCAGGCGGGTCAGGTGACCGCAACTGTGTTGTGTTGAATGACATCCATATCGACATCATGGACTACATTGTACCAGCCTCGTGCACTGACTCGGAGTTCAGGCAAATGTGGGCTGAGTTTGAATGGGAAAATAAGGTAAATCACCTTAATCACTAAACACCATTCAGTATAAACGCTTTCATTTGATTGTCAAAAGTTATTCCGTTCGTTATAATTGTTAAGCTTTACAATCGATGCGTGACAACTAGTGCAACATGCACAAAGTCCCTTGTACAAATTGTTAAGCAAAACATCATCATCAACAACATTAAGACCTGGTCAAACGGTCTCGCAAGTAGAAGCAAGTTGAAAACTTGGTCTACTTGCGACTCTGTTTGGCCAGGCCTTTCATGCACTTGCGTGACTTATTACGCTCACATTGGTCGAGATCAAATTAGCACCCAAGTTGACGCAAATTTTTAACCATTTAGCCACCCAACCCAAGTCAACGCAAGTTGAGTGACGTTTATTCGTTGTTATAACAACCTATTAGCTGATGAAATTCAGCATTGAAAGCCATGAAATGGGTTTTTTGCGACTTGCATGTACTTGCGAGGAAACTTGCGAGTCCGTTTGTTCACCCAACGCAAGTCGATCTCTACGCAAGTTCAACTTGCGACTACTTGCAAGTCCGTTTGGGCTTTATAACAGCATTAACACAAGTTAATAGAGTCACCATACACCAGAGGTTATTCTTGTCGATTCATTGCGTTATTTTCAGTAGTATCATTTCATCGTTGTTCTATTGTGCTTTGTTAGGTGACTGTTAACACCAATATCACCGACCTCCGTGAATACCTGGATCATTTAATTGCTTCTACAAACATGAAGTGTTTGACGCCAGAAAAGGTTTGTAACCGATCCAGTTTATCTGTTTGGCTTCTTGTTGAACTGATTCACTGAAAGGTGTGTTTTTCATTTTTCCTCAGGCTTTGGCCGGCGAGTGTGGTTTCATGGCAGCTAATCTGTACGCCCGCAGTATCTTTGGAGAGGATGCCTTGGCTAACGTGTCAATCGAGAAACCCAGTGACCAATCAGGACCCTCTGTCACTGGTCACGTGCGCATCCGTGCAAAGAGTCAGGTAATTGACGTTTGCTTCGCATGACTACCCCCACCCCCCATGGTGACTACTTGATTTCAGACGTCAACAAGAGGAGAACGTGTCTATAGCAAAATTCTCGATCGTGATTGGTTCTCCGCGCGCTTATTTGCCACGTAATCGGTACGCGATCACGTAGGTGTCCAATCACAGGTATCCAATTACAACTTTTTTGTAATTGGATATCGTCGCCATTCGCACGTCAATTACGTGAGCTTCAATGGCTTTCCTTCTTAATGTTTCCTGCAGTTTTTACAACTTATGGAAGACACTACTGACTTTTTCGCGCAAAAGTTCTCAAAACAATTTTTTTAATCTCGAAATTTTGTTATTGATACGATTGATTAGTAATTGGACCTCTTGTTGTACAATTCAGGGAGAAATCGCGCTCGTTATTTCCAATCGGTTTCGCGCTCGGCGCTCGTCCAATTTTAAAATTACTCCCTGAAGTGTACTTCACTCGGTCCAATTACCATTACTTATGTAGGAATTTTGATTAAACAGTGAAATCGACATTATTTCCGGAACTTGCTTTCTTGTGTTTCTGCGTTTTCTTAAACCGACCAACAGCGAGTTAAGGCGACTGTATCCAATAAGAAAGTGTGTTGTTTTTAAATGCCAATTGAAAACTTGCCTAATTTAAAGTGCGTGAAAGCCACCTGATTAACCAATGAGAAAATGTTTCGGTTGTAAATGAGGTGGTAATTTGTTGTATGTTAAAAAGTGTGTTCGCAGTGTAGTATCCATTATGCATAGAGAGTGGAAAGATTTTCTTTGTTGCAGTAAGTTTAATTTCCTATTTCCTGTCTAGGGGCAGAAGTCTCGGGAAATTTCATGAGCTTTTTAGCAACTTCACATAAGCCATAATAATTATTTCGCCGCTTTTGTGTGTGTTTATTTGCAGGGAATGGCACTCAGTTTAGGGGACAAGATCAATCTATCGCAGAAGAAAGTCACCAAATGAAGTGAAGTGAATAAAGTCGTAATACCATAACAAATTAATCGCTAGTTCCTGCAGTGATTTGCGTGCTTCTTGGATGTCATACCTCTAGCATTTATTTCTTGTTGTTCTCGGTCTCTAGAGGATGAAGTTGTTTTTTTTCTAAAACTAAAGATATTTGTTATGTTTGTTGCCAAAATCGGATACAAGGAACTAGTGGAACTACTACGGGGTTCATTTGGTTTCACATGTAAAGGTATTCGCATTTCACTGTAGCGAGTAGTGTAGTAATAATAGTTGATCTGATTGAGGAATAATAAAGTCAATTGAAATGATTTTGTTGCCTTAACTGGTTTGCGTAAACAAACCATGTCCCACGATGCTACTACGAGCAAATGCTCGAAACTCAGTCTTTGAATTCGTCTTGTCCGCTTAGACCTGTCTCAGTCTCGTTCCAAAACAATTAATTTTCCTCGAAGAGAACAGTAAAGACATCTTCGGCCCCAGGGCATTCCTGTTGTTAGTGGCGCGTCAACAGTTTGATGGCGTTCAATGGTTCGTAACAGGGCCTTCGTCAACGAAATCTGTTTTATCAAACAGACTACTCGAACTGGGAAACCAAAACAAAATGTCCAATGGCCGCCTGAACTACAATCTCCTCCTTTGCTGAGCAAAATCTGTCCACCACAGTTACAGGTTTAAAACGTTAATATTAGACTATGGATAAAGTCTGCGTTTGAGCCTAGTGGGCCATCAACCATTCGTTGAATGAAGTGACCAGGAGTATCTCTACTTCCTAATGGAAGGGATGCTAGTCCATTGCAGGATTAGCCCCCAATATTAAATTTATACACCTGAGCGAAGAGAGGCACTGAATGAGTCAAGTGTCTTACCCAATAACATACCGCTCAATTACCATTAGGCCATTGCGCCTGCCAGTTAAAGAATCATTTATGGCTAAGCACTATTAATGGTGGTAACTTTGGGTAGGCGAGGTTTTCTGTTGTTCTTGTTGTTTGTCTGATTTTGTTTTGCTTCGTCATTCAATCAGTCTCCGAAGCTCACCATATCCGTTTCTCTTTCCCTTACATTCGCTCTCCTTTATTTCTCAATTATTATTTTGCTAGCGCCCAAAAACGTCTACCAACATACTTTATTATACATTGAACTCACTATCTCTTTTCTGATTGGCCGAAAGCGTACAGTGAATTTTCGAAATAAGCGCCTGTGACGTCATCTAGCTGCAGATTATACAATTACAATAATCATGTCAAGGACACTCAAGGTCACGGGTAATAATGTCTTGTATGACCGCAGTGCATGATTTCTAAGGGTAATCATGTCAAGTTCGCGCGCTTTTTGTTGCTTGCCGTCAGTGAAGAAGCAAAAACATGACTGCCTTATTTTTTTTCGTTCAATGTACAATAAAACAATTATTAGATTCGGTTTTTGTGATTTCCAGAATAATCAAGGTCTCGGTAAGGGTTATTAACCTCAGCCTTCGGCTTCAGCCGATAACCCCTGCCTCGACCTTGATTATTCTGGATATCCCAAAAACTCATCCAATAATTGTTTAAAATCTGTCATTAGTGCTGTTTTAGAAAGTCTTCATATACGACACGTACAGGAATAACAGGCGCTAATGAGCTGTTTACAACGGACTCAGGGACCTCATCAACTCTAAACGCAATCGAACAGGTGTCCGTTGTTAAGAAAATCAAGAAAACGACTTTCCTTACAAAGCAACATTAAACTTTTAACAATAATTCTGCGGTTTGTTGTAACAATCGACCAATGTCACCCCTAGTAACAATGGGGAAACCTTTCAGCGTGTAATTCTTTTATCTTATGCAAATCTTGTACACTCGCAGGTGCCCTTGCGATAAATTCGAAACAAGCAGCTTTTCAATGTAAATATTAAACCGCATTGATATCAACAACTTGCTCATCCAGCTTTATTAATTGTAAAAGAACAGAAACTATTTTGATGAAATCATTGGCGAAGGAGATGTTTTGACAAGAAAAGCGTTCATTGTTATTGAGATCCGTTGACTGACTGCCACTGGCTGAACTTGACGCGTGTTGTTGGCTTGCCTTGAAATGAACGCAGAAGTTGGTTTCCTAGTTCTTATTTTGTATTTCTACCTCTTCCTGGACTTGTACTCATCTTTTGGGAAACTTTTTCTTGCGAATGGAGAAGAACATGCGAAAAAGTCGTGGCAATTTAAGAGGCGCCTTATGAAGCAGAATAGAACAAAGAACTTAGCAATCTGTGCTACTGTTTGTGCATGTACGGTCGAGGAAGATAAGCCAAAGAAACACCTTCCTGAGATTACGTTTCATCAAGAAATTTCTCAACCACATGTAAGGGAGTACGGACGGATGGCCGTTATGCAGAAATCACGGTTGTGGGGCAGAGGCTGAAACACAACAGAATTGACGTGCATCACATGACTGAGGTGATCATGGCGAAAAAGAATGAATTCTTAAAAATTCTTGCAGCAATCGTAATTAAAGCCTTGTGGGACTTGTAGTAACGGTTGTTGTCACCTTTCGGAAATTTTCGGACTTTTCTCGTGAACTTTCAGACATCTCTTGACGCATTTCGGACGTTTTCTGCTAGTAATTTCTGACGATTTTCAGTCAAACTTCATAAAAAAAAAACTGTAAGGCCTAAATAACTACATGGTCATAATACTAGCAAATAAACGAATAATTCTGGACGATTACTGTACAATACTGACTCAGTGAAAGGGACCCAATCTTGTACAGTGCAATGCCTTTGCTATTGACTGGAACATTTTAGGCAAACTCGTGCAAAAATTGCTGGTTAGTTAGACACGTACCCGGCTCAAGTTTTGCCTAAATATTCTTTAATGCATTTCTAAATATATTTGAGTTTACAATGCCTATTATTTAAAGAAGTCACCAGGAGTCGCGGGGTACCCGCGGGGGCATTATGGTTAGCGCGCTGGATTCCGCTCGACCCCTGGCCGGGGTATTTACGTTGTGTTGCTGAGCAAGACATGTTACTCTCACAGTGCCTCTATCCACCCATTTGTACTGGCTTAACGCTTTCTCGGAAATATACCGATTTGTCACAAACCACTTGATACAATTTCACGAAATCTGGCAAGGAAATGCTATGGAAAATAAGTTAGTGGATTATTGAAAAAATCTGAAATTTAACCGAGGAAATGCTAAATAATCCAGTTATCCTTATCCTACAGTGAAACTTGGAAATTAATTTCTGTTGAAGACGAAAATAAACGCCTCGTACTCGACCATGGTGGCTCTAACGGATTAAGTGCTGAAATTTATGAGAATAGTCGACCCTGAATAATCATACTCGGATATTTGAATTAATCGAAGCAGTTCACCATGTTCTGTGAAGATACAATTAAATGCTTGAACAGACAAGATGAGGATTGGAGGTGAAAGTCGCTGTTAAATCTTTTCTAAATCACGGATCATTCTTAGCAAGAGACTTGCGCTTAGTCAAAATTAAAATTAAATTGATTGATTTTCGGACGCTAGGTTATGTCCGGGCGAAATTTTGAACGTCCCAATGGTTGATATACGAAGCAATGTACTGCTCCTTAAAAATTCCACTTCAGTGTATACGAACAATAGCACCAGAGCGAGGTTGGGGTGGACATTTTCATACATTTGCTGTATTTTTGTCCACCCAGGCCTCGATTCGGTGCCACTGTTTATTGGAAGGCGGGAAAGGTCTCATATCACTTGTGACTGTGACAAAGATTTGGACCACCCATGCATCTACAGTAAAGCCCTCGTACCCACGGTGTTTCAATTAATCAAGGCTTCAATCCAAGATGGCGGACACACCGGAGAAAGTGCCCTCGACTCCCGAGCGATCATTGATCCTCGAGGATTTCACAGAAGCGACGCTGTCGATTCAAACTTTATTGCTCTTTGTTTTAATTATCTCACTGAATAGCTGTTTTCTTTCGCCATTTTGTCTTGTTATAACACAACTTAGGATCAGGAGCCATAATCGGGGACGGAGACCGTAAGCGCGCACCATTTCTAGTATTGGGGCTGTTCCTATGATATGGGACAATTTTCTATTTTTAGAACAAATTGCGCCATCCCGTGCGGCACACGCGCGTACATGCTGCGAGGATTTTTGCGGATGTAGCGCGGGGAAATGTGGTCCGAAATTCCCGAAATGTTTGATGCTTTTGGCCCACGACTCAATACTTTCATGTCTGTTGGAATTTTGCTTCAGCGTTTTCGTCGTAAGCTGCTCCAGTTTGAGTGAAGTGAGAGAGAGTAAAATTTAGTTATGTGCCGCTTTATTTATCACTGAACAAGTTGTGTTCCGCAGCTTCTTTTACAAGGGCTCCACACTACTCCACTCTAAGTTTCATATATGTTGAAGATAAACAGCTTTTCAAAAACACAGCAAAAAACTAGTTAGATATATTTGGATATAGCAGCGTTTCAGGACTTCAAAGTTTCCCTCCTCTTGCCACACGCTTGCGACGATTTCGCC